TTGTAAATGCAGCCCAGGGAGTTTCTGGTATTTAATGTTTGTCACATCCCACTGAGGGCAGAGCCCCACATGCTGCCCTGCAGGACAGAGCTGGGCAGGGCAGCAGAACATGTGAGAGATCAACAGAATAAACAACCTGGAAACCAGCACAGACCAATTATGGCTTCTGCTTTGGCTTGGGGCTGACAGACAGAGACTTTCTACAATTTGGGAATCATCAATACCTCAGATTCCAACACTGTGGAACAGCAGGCTCCTGCTTAAGAGCCTCAATCTCTCCTCCATGCCCAGCCCTGCTCCCTCTCCAGGAAAGAGCACCTGAAGAAAGAGGCAGCATCACTGCAGCTCTCAGTGCCAAGTGACCCATCACTGGACATGTCTGTACAATCAGGACAGCCCTGGGGTCAGGTGGTGCCTCTGGGCTCTGTCACAGCATGGCCAAGGCACAAAGGCTTTTTCCAGGCAGGTTACTATCTATAGGCAGCTTAAGTGGCAGAGCAGAGAACAAAATCCAGAACTTAATCCCATCTTGCGTGCCACAAAGCTAAAATTACTTCTTGATGGCATCTCAGTACTTTGTGGCCTATTTGTTTACTGCTATCCAGGGATCCTCAGTGGGATGTGTGTACTCGAGGTCACCATTTAAATATATAAATAATGAGCAGCAGCGAGGGAGCTGCCTCCAGCTGGATTTAGAGCCCACAGAGCAGCCAGGCTGACAGCACCCACCCCTGCACAGGCACACTCACTTGTGGATGCTCATGTAAGCAGTGGTGCTGGTACATCCTGTTGACAGAGCTTCAAAGATTATGGAGGTGTCAAGCCGTGACAATCCAGAGCCACCAACATCTGGTTTCACATAGATCCCACCAAATCCTAGCTGGGCTGCCTTCCTCATCGTTTCCACAGGGAATATTTCCTATTGGGGCAGGAGAGATATCCCAATGAATATTCAGGGTTAGTTCAGTCCCTTTGGGTAGCCCTGGGCTACCAGTTTGAATCCCACCATCCTGCAGAGTTTAAGTCAGCTGGGTGGTCAAAGAAAAGCTGGTACCAACACAGACACATTCCATCTTCTGCAGTGAATCCAAGATCCAGGTGATTGAATAACCTGGCTGGGAAAACTTCAAGGTATTTCTGATGATTTCCCCTCCCCCAGCTACAGCAGCAGCTTCAATGACAACCTCCAGAGATGTTGCAGGAACCCCACAGTGAGACCTGTGGGTCACAATGTCCTCAGGAAGGAAAAAGGGAGCAGTACAACCCTTGTGAGGCTATCCTACCTTCTCATCCCACTCGGCCATGTAAGGAGCCATCTCCTTGGCAGCAAAATCAAAGGCAACTTTTTGGAATTCCTTCTGATCCTCAGTGAGTCCAATGGATGCTAGAAAAGCAGGAATAGATGAGAACATGTGTCTGTTGAGGGAAAGCAGCACAACCACCTCATTTATACCCCAAACAATTTCAAGGTGCCCCTTAACTCACACAAACAGTTTGGGGTCTCTGCTGCAGAGACCATTTCTCTGTACCTCAGGAATCTAATGAACTGTGCTGAGAGCAAGGGGCTTTGGGAGGGGCTTTCTTTGGACAAAAGAAATCCAAGATCCCACATGTCTCTGTCTGCTCCATGCTAACTACATTAGAAAGCCAGGACAGGGGAGCACAGTCACTCCATCTCACTGAGTCGGTGCTAAAGAAATCTGAGGGAGCAGTGCTGGGATTTCAAAGAAAGGAGACTTGGGAGAAATAAAGAATAAAGCAGCCCTTCGGAAACAGCATCTAAATCTTAAGTTAGGTTCTGCATTTGAAACCTCCTGCTTCGCCAACACATAGATCCAACATTGTTTTGTTCCTCTCCTGAAATTCACAGCTATGCTGCTGCCTCAATTTCAAATGTTGTTACATTAAGACAGCAAAGCAATTCATCTATCTGCAAAGTGTTCTGGAACCAGAATGGTTGGATTGGAAGGGACCCTAAAGACCATCTTGTTACAATACCTGACACCTTCTGCAAGAGCAGCCCTGTCCAACCTGGCCTTCAGCACTGCCAGGGATGGGGCATCCACAGCTTCGGGGTAACCTGTGCCAGCTGGAATTCTGCCAGAAGAATTTCTTCCTAATGTCTAACCCAAATCTCTCCTCTTTTAGTTTAAATCCATTCCCCCTTGCCCTGTCAGTCTGCCTATACAAAAAGCTGCTTTCCTTCTTTTTTATAATCCCCTTTCTTTGACAGATATTCTTTGATTCACTATCAAACCTGAAAAACCGTGAAAACCTAACAAAGGTAAGGGAGGGACAGGGAGAGGGAAGGACGGACCTTCCTTGTGGGTTCTATCCCACTGATGAGTGCAGTCTAACAAGGTAAAAGGAAGGACAGGGAGAGGGAAGGACCTTCCTTAGGGGTTCTATTCCACTGATGAGTGTGGTCTAAAGAGGTATAAGGAGGGACAGGGAGAGGGAAGGACCTTCCTTAGGGGTTCTATTCCACTGATGAGTGTGGTCTAAAGAGGTA